ATGCTACCTCATACATTAATCAAGCTATGCATTTAACCATTTAAGAATTACATACTAAATTATTTGAAAATAAAAAAAAGGGTAAATTTCATATTAATGCATAAATAGGGGTTTCGTTTTACCTTATAATGCATTAATCAAACAGTAAATATTATCATTTTTATTTTAATTTTACAAGAGAAATAGACATTTTGTTAAAAAAAATAAAAGATTGCATTAAATAGTTTTTCAATTATGTCATGAGAAAAAATTAATAAGAACACCTCAATAATAATAATTAATTAAAAATATTTCATCATGTAATATATTTTATTCTTAATTAATCTTTGTATCTATATGTATCTATGTATGTTAGTTTTGAGACCTTTTATTTTCAATTCAATAAACTACTATTGCACATTTAGATTAATTTCTAAACTTAATGGTTACTTCTCTCTTTTTGGCCTTTATAGTTATATTTAGATGACATTTTTTTTTCATTATCTTTCTCCATGCCCTTCCATATTCCTACCTACTTATATATAAAGGTTAAATGTCAATTTTGGTACTTTCACTTTAGGCTTTTGCACAATTGTTATTTGTTAACTTTTTTATGCACTTTTTTATCTTTCAACTATGAAAACTGCATTTTCTAAGTCATTTTATTTGTTAGTTTGTTAAATATATTTAAATATACATATTTTTAGTCCTTTAACTTATAATACATACACATTTTTAGTCTCTTAACTTATAATATATAATATAAAGTTGAGGGCTAAAAACTGTGTATATTTGGACATCCTTAATAGACTAATTAATAGACAGACTAAAAAAATGCATTTTTTCATAGTTGAGGGCCACAAAAGTGCAAAAAAAATTTTGAGATGAAAACTATGAAAAACCCTAAAGTTGAGGAACTAAAATTGATATTTAACCATATATAAACCTTGACTTACATTTCTCTACATTAATGTATCATAATTTCCTCTTTATCTCTAAAATATGTATAGCATTGTATGAACTATGTTCTCTACTAGTTTTATTTTTTTTTTATGAATTTTTTTTTTTATAAAACATATGATGATTGTTCTTTTGAAAGAATTTCATAACTCTTATCTTTTTGAAATTTATTCATCCATTTCTTTTTAGATTATAAATGGTTTGAAACTTTTTTTTCCTTGTGTGTGTCAAGGAGAGAACCCTACTTATGGGATGGGAATCAATAAGGGTAATGATAGTTTTAATTCATACAATGAATTGAACAAAAAAGCATGAATTGAATAAAAAATCTAGTCATATCAAAAT